TTCGCCGCCGCTCATCGCATCGAGAGGCCTCGAGGACACGGCCTCGGCGGCCGGACTCGAACAGCCCGTCTCCAACGTGTCCGAGGACTGGAAGACCCTTCGGCCGACCCTCGGCCGCCCAGCGCCAACGGCAACCTCGTCTGATGGTGGCACCAAGAGCCGATCGCAAAGACACCAGCCACCGGCAGTCCCTTCTTTGCTCGGCTGGCCGCCACACTCCGCCCAGTCTCCGGCATTCACATCGTCCTCTTCGATATACTCTTCCTCCTCCTCCTCGCCGTCGCCGTCGCCGTCGCCGTCGCTGTCGTTTTCGTCATCGCCGTCGTCGTCGCCATCGTACTCGTCCTTCCTTTTCTGGCGCCCCGAAGGCGTGTGCCCCGGTCGAGCAGACACAATTCGACCCGAATACACAAAGACCCTGTCGACTCATAGAAATGACATCGAGGCAGGGAATGGTCCCTGCAAAAGGCAACTGGAAGACTACAAGGTAGGCGGTGACGGTCTTGCAAGCTGAAGCTGAATCACTCTTGGCCGAAAACGTTTCGCGAACTGTCGTTTTGACCTCGTCCGAGTCTCATCTTCACCGCAAAATGATGCGCATAACCAGATTTTAATCCACTTTTGGTGAATATGAGATTCAGGCGAGGCGAAGAGAGCACTCGAAGTACAAATAGGATGGCGTTTTGGGAAACAGGACCTAGCAGGATTCATTGGCAAAGTAGGGCCCACTCATTTCATTGTGGCAAATTAAAGTCTTAGTCAATAGTATGTATGATAGAAATGGGTTGACCTCGTTGTCGCAACTTGGTCTTGTTGTCATGGCGACTATGTAGAACGCACCAAGTCCGAAGTCGTCTGCCATTGTAGTTGTCATGACTCCCAGCATCAGACAGTCGACTTGGTACATTCTCAAACGTTTCGCCGGCATTATAGTCGGCATCATCAGTCAGTTTTGCTATTCGCCCCACGAAGCTACGAACTCGTCAAAGAGACGAGTGAAGCCAATCCCTCGACAAACGTTGCTGGGAATCATGACAACGACTTCGGACTAGGTGCGTTCTACTAAGTCGCCCTGACAACAAGACCAAGTTGCGACAACGAGGTCATTTCTATAAATCGAAAGGAGACTGCGACCATACCAGAGGCCCCAACATCTTGGTCTTAATATCTTCAGTTTGTATGACAATTACAGAGTCGGACGGTAGAGTTGGTACATCGTCAGTGAGCTTTGCCACACTCGTCAAAGAGACAAGTGAAGTCAATCTTTTGCCCTTTTACAAGTTTGAGAAACTA